AAAAAAAAAAAAAAACAAAAAAAAACCCAAAAAAACATAAAGAAACTTCCAAATAGGTAGCAGACTCTTATCCCCAATTTAAGGTCCAGTCTTTGTAAGTTTCTAAATTCTTGTCTTCCAATTTTTCAGTTTAGGAAACTAATAACCGACATACACCACAATGTCTTTTGTAATTTTTATTACTATTGGATTAATCTGTCGTTATTCCTATTTTAATTGTTCTCCAAAATTTCCAATCTTGTGGAAAAAAAAAGATTGAATTTCACTTTGTACTCTGAAAGATACTTCGATTATCAATTTGCACTCTTAAACATTAAAAATCTCAATTTGTACCTTAAATGTTATGAATTGATAATAATGTGAAACTCGTTCAAACTACTATTTAATTTCTTTGTTATAAATTGAAACACTTTAGTTGCAAGTGCTTCAGGACATGATGATGAGGTGTGTCCACCATTGCAGATCTTTATTTGTGATCATATTTCACATTGTTTTATGTATCGAAAATAAGGTTTCATTAATCAAATAGTGATTAAGTCTATCACGTGTAACTCAAATGAGACGCCAACAATTTGTGAATTTATACATAAGCCTGTGGCCGAAACACTTAAAACTCATGTGTATATATAACGAAAAACTGTACGATAGTTTGGGTAATGTCTATATTGCTACCAATTCATAATATTGAATATGTAAATTAAGATTTTTAATGTTTGAGGGTACAAATTCAAAATTTAGGCCTCTTTTATTGTGCAAAGTGACATTAACATAAATAAAAAAAAATTGAATGGGCAGGTAGGATACTGAAAGTGAAAAACCCTGACAAGGCCAGTGCATATCTCTGTCATTAATATTAACTAGAATTCCTATTTAATGTTGGGAAGCTCTGATGAGGTAAACAATAAAACTCAAAGATATTCTGGATGAATGACTCACCTTTTTATTGAACAAACTTGGCTATATATATAGCCTTACAGTACTTAACAGACCAGCTGAAATAAAGCTAAAATCTCAACTAATCCTAAAGACTAGGGATTTATTTAACAGAAGCAAGACTGAGTAAACTAGACTCAGTAAACACCTAAAAACAAGCAAAAATTATCCTTTCAATCCCTCCCTTAAACTAACTGTGGTAGATAGTTAGTTTAGTTCAGCTGCCTTGCAAATCCCCATCTGACTTCTAAGCTTTTGAAAGGCATCCAACTTCAACGGCTTTGTCATCACATCTGCAGTTTGCTCCTCTGTTCCACAGTGTAACAACTCAATGGTTCCATCCTTAGCAAGCTCTCTCAAGAAATGGAACCGTACATCAATATGTTTGCTCTTCCCATGCATTACAGGATTCTTTGACAATTTGATGGTGGAGCTGTTGTCACACATGACTATGGTACCCTTCTTTTGTGCATGACCCAGCTGCTCCAAAACTCTTCTCATCCACACTGCTTGACTTGCACATCCAGCTGCTGCCACAAACTCTGCCTCTGTGGTTGACAGTGTAACAATCGGTTGTTTCTTTGAAAGCCAAGAAACTGCTCCAGAACTTAACAGAAAAACATAGCCGGAAGTGCTTTTCCGATCATCTAAGTCACCAGCATAGTCACTATCTGTGTAGCCAATCAAGTCATCTGAACTCTCTTTCTTGTACATGATTCCATAATCAAAAGTACCCTTCAAGTACCTTAATATCCTTTTGGCAGCTTGTAAATGAATCTCTGTAGGCTTAGCCATGAACCTGCTGATCAAACTCACAGTGTACATTATGTCTGGACGAGTTGCCGTGAGATACATGAGGCTTCCTACAATTTGTTTGTAATATGACTCATTAATTGCAACTCCATCTTCATCCTTGCTCAACTTGCAACCTGGAACAATTGGACTATTGACTGCATGACTATCCAACATTCCAAATCGCTCCAAAACATCCTGTGCATATTTCTTTTGGCATATGAAGATACCATCAGGCTGTTGGGATACTTCAATGCCGAGAAAGAACTTCATTTTTCCTAGATCAGTCATTTCAAAAGCTTGCATCATTGAACACTTGAAACTGCTCATCATCTCTTCATCATCACCAGTATAGATTAGATCATCAACATAAACACTGACAATAAGTATTTTACCTTCTTTGCTACTTTTTGTGAAGAGAGTCTGCTCATTTGGACATCTTTCGAAACCTTCATTGACAAAGTAAGTTTCAATGCGGCTGAACCAAGCTCGTGGAGCTTGCTTTAAGCCGTATAGAGCCTTATGTAACTTGTAGACCTTGTCCTCACTTCCTTTGACCTCATAACCCTTTGGCTGCTCAATGTACACATCTTCATCAAGTTCACCATGAAGGAAGGCTGATTTCACATCTAACTGAAATATTTTCCAGTTTCTTTGAGCTGCAAGAGCCACCACCATCCTTACTGTCTCCATTCTTGCCACTGGAGCGTAGACCTCGGTGTAGTCTATCCCATATTTCTGCGTGTAACCCTTGGCCACCAAGCGTGCTTTGTGCTTCTCAAGCTTTCCATGCTCATTATACTTGGTTTTATAGATCCATTTCACCCCAACTTTCTTGGCTCCAGCAGGCAGCGTAACCAACGTCCATGTCTTGTTTTTCTGTATGGACTTAATTTCATTGTCCATTGCCAATCTCCAGCTTGCATTCCTCACTGCTTCTTCATAATACAACGGATCACTTGATACCATTAGTGCCATATTACTTTCATCTTCAGATAACCCGAGGCCCTCCCCACTAACATAATCCCTCATCCATCCTGGACGATTTCCCACTCTCTTACGGATACTACCTCCACTATCTTCACTATTCCCATTGTTTGGAGATTCATTTCCTTCATCACCACTGCCAGTCTCACCTATATTTTCACCATTATTTCCAACCCTATCAGTGTTTTCATCTCCCTCATCATTATTATCACCTATTCCAGCATCATCATCTTCCCACTCTAAATTTACTAAAATTTGTTCTGCATAACTCACATCCCAATCCCATTGCCTATCCTCTTCAAATATCACATCCCTACTCACTACCACCCTTTTAGTAATAGGATTATACAGTCTATATCCCTTAGCTTCCTCACTAACACCCAAAAATACACAAATAGAACTTCTATTGTCAAGTTTAGTCCTTCGTACCTTTGGCACATGAACATGTGCTATGCAACCAAAGACCCGAAGATGATCAACAGAGGGCTTTGTTCCGCTCCACGCTTCTTCAGGTGTGATGTTTTTGACTGCCAAGGTTGGACATCTATTCAACAAATAATTGCTCCAATTTACTGCCTCTGCCCAAAATGGTTTTGGAATTCCCTTCTCTGAGAGCATTGCACGAACCATGTTCATTACAGTTCTGTTCTTTCGTTCAGCTACGCCATTTTGTTGAGGGGTGTAGGCAGTTGTCAGCTGCCTTTTAATGCCGTTCTCCATGCAGAAGTTGTTGAATTCAACTGAGGTGAACTCACCTCCCCTATCTGTACGCAGACACTTGATGGACAAACTTGTCTCATTCTCCACCATTTTCTTAAAACACTTGAAATGACTCAATGCTTCTGACTTCTCACTCAGAAAATACATCCATGATTTTCTACTGTAGTCATCTATAAAACACAAAAAATACCTTTTGTTGCTGTTGGACATGGGAGTGATCGGTCCACAGATGTCTGCATGGATGAGACCCAATATTTGACTTGCTCTCCAAAAACTCTTCCTGGGTATAGGATTACGGTGATGCTTGCCAACAATGCAATCTTTGCACAACTCATCTGAGGCAATGAGATTAGGAAGGTCACGCACCATTTTCTTGCTCTGCAAGGTCCTTAAACCTTTGTAGCTTAAGTGTCCATATCTCCGATGCCAAAGTTGAGACAGATTCTGTGAGCTTGTGTGAAGACACTTTTCATGTAGTTGCTGAGACATCATTTGTGACTGGTCAAACAAGATGAACATCCTATTTGTGCTCATGTCAGTCTGAATAATCAAGCCCTTATGAGGATGAAAGATCTTGCATACCCCTTCCTCAATCAGAATTGCCAAGCCTTTCTCTTGAAGCTGCCCTATGCT